ATGTACGTGCGTATGTATGGTTGTCTGCATGCATACACGTAAGTTTGTTTGTATGTATGTATGTACATATGTACTCATATGTGTATGTAGATATCTGGGTCTGTATATATTTATATATACATGCATGTCTGCGTGTATGGATGTATGCAGGTGTGTATGCATGCATGCATGCATGCGTGCGTGCATGTATGTAGGTATGTACGTATCTATGCATGCATGTCTGTATGCATGTCCGGATGTGAACATGCATGTGTGCATACACACATATATATATATATATATATAGGTATGCATACATGCATGCATGTGCGTGCGTGGGTATTCATGTATGTGAAATAATGTTTGTGTTTGCAACAACACGTTTAGGGACTGACCATTTCTTGTTTCAAAATGGGGCTCTCGCTTGAGGCACACTCCATTTTTTTTTCTTCTCTTTTTGTTTTGCCAGAGTGTAAACTGGTGCACCAGTTCCACAGATGGAGGGCGGTCCTTCCCAAGCAAGGGAATCTCGCAGGACACCTCCTTCAACTGTATGGCCATACCTTTTCCCATCCCTTATCGCTCGCTAGAAGGACGTAAGGCAATCCCTTTTCAAAGCGGGTGTCTCGCCTGAATCACAGGCCCATGGGGTGCTGGTCTGTTCAGGGGGCGCCCATTGTAGTGAGAAAAGGAAGCCTGTAGGGCCTTGCTGGGAAGGGGCCTGGGACGGGAGGGTGTACTGCAACATTGGTTGCTGTCGAGGACAAAGGGCCAGCAGGCGCGGGTGGGGGGGGCGCAGCATGGCCCGCGGCATATGCGCGGACGAGCGTGGGCCAGGGGATGTGCTGCAAGGACAAACTTACCGTCGCTCGGACGTCCATTTCCCGTGCATTTTTCGGTTTCGTGCGTGTTTTTTTCCTCGATGGTCCAGTCTGGTCCTCGTGGTTTCTCGCCGAGAAAAAATGCACACGTCCAAGCGATGCCAAGAAAAGGGGGCGGGGGCATGAAGCCTGAGAGAGATCACGACCCTGGCCATGATCGCCTTCCTTTGTCCTCGACCACTCCTGGACGCCCCCAGACCTCGGGTGTCTGTTCACGTGTGGGGGGGAGAACCGTGCACTCTTCGTGCATCCTCTGGCCCCGCGGTGGCAATCTAGGGGGCCGTTGAGAGCCGCTTTCCTGCAATCCTCAACCCCGTCACGTTTCATGCCCCCTAATTGTCGTCCGCCCTGAATCATCCTCCGGCGCATGTTTACGCATGTTTGTCCTCGTCGATCGCATCCGTCTCCTCATCCTTCTCCCAGGAGGGCCCAACATCGAATCGATATGTCGGATCGGTGGACATTGGAAGCCAAGTCGGGAGAAGCCGAATCGGCGTGTACGTCGGCAGACTAGTCGGACCTCCGTTGAGAAACCGAAGCCCAGATCGGAATCGGAAGTCGAACCGAATCGGAATCGATCGAAACCAAATCAAATCGAGTCGTGGGTATCGAAATAAGCCCTCTTCTCCTCGCCGGCCCCTGCTCGGGCGATGTCCTGCCGACCCCCAAGAGACCCCCAGAGACCCCAAGAGGCCCCACGAGGCTTCCAAGCGGCCCCCCAGAGCTTCCCAAGAGGCCCCCAAACTACCCCGAAGAGGCCCCCGAGAGCGCTCGTCGTCGTCGTCGTCGCCATTCAGGGTCGGCGGCACTGGCCGTAAGGCCTTCGCCATATGCCCTCTTCTCCTCGCTGGCCCCTGCTCGGGCGGTGTCCTGCTGGCTGGTCGCGGTGCCCTCCCGGCGAGGCCGAGGCGGGCCACAACTTCTCCTCCTGCTCCTCCTCCTCCTCCGCCTCGTCCTCCGCGGCCTCCTCCTCCTCCTCCTCCTCCTCCTCCACCTCGTCCTCCTCCTCCTCCTCCGCTCCTCCTCCTCCTCCTCCTCCTCCTCCTCCTCCTCCTCCTCCGCCTCCACCTCGTCGTCGTCCTCCTCCTCCTCCTCCGCCTCCGCCTCCTCCTCCTCCTCCTCGTCCTCCTCCTCCTCCTCCTCCGCCGCCGCCGCCTCCTCTGCCTCCTCCACCCGGCACCGAAGAGGTGGCTCCTGGTGGAAGCGGGCCCTGGCCCGTAGCGAATGCGGGGACGCCCGGGCGGGGGTCGGGGAGGGCGACGGCGGAGGCCGCCCCCCCTCGCAGCTTCAGAGGGCGGCCTCTGGAATCCGTCGGCATCGCCTCGGGCTGGGGCGCCAGCGCTTCCCCCCGCCCCTTTCCTACAGTCGGACTCGATTGGACAGGACACGCGAGAGGACACAAGACCCTTCCGAGGGCCACATTGCCACAGGAATGTAGGAAGCATGGGTCGCGAGACACAGGACATAAGGGCACCCTTGACTTGGCAGGGTCGACCTACAAATCTGGGCCGACTGTAGGGGCCTCCTGGATGGGGTCCGAGTAGATGGGGTCGACGGAGCTCACCGCATCGCCGATGCATCGGCGATGCATCGCCAGTGCGCCGGCGATGCACCTGCGACGTCGGCATTACGGCGGCGACGCCGGCGCGAAGAGCATCGGGCTCCGCACCGAGCCGTATCGGCGACGCATCGGCGATGCGGCGCGACCCTCCGAACCCATCCACTCCGACCCCATCTAGGAGGCCCAGGCTTCCGCCCTCCGCTCCGGAGGAAGAACCAAACAGCACCAACAAAAGCTTTCGACGCTCCGCGCGGATCTCTTGGATCATCGCCGGACCCCCCTCCCCCCTCCCTGGTGGCGCGCGGAGCGCGCAGTGGGCGGCGCCAGAGGCGCCGCCAAGGGGGGCCAGCGCAGGTCCAAGAGATCCGCGTGCAGAGGGCCAAACATCCACCCCCATCATAACCACCCCGACAAGCGAGGCCGCTTAGTAAACGCACCCAAAGAAGGAATCGAGCAGGGCAGCGCTGTTCAAAAAACGCCAAAGTCCGTTTAGTAAACGCCAGTGATCCGGTCATTTTTTTTTTTTTTTTTTTTTTGTTTATTTTTTCTTCCTCTTGAGCGTGGACCGTCGAACGTTTATGGTTATGCACTTTCTTCTTCTCCACACTCCGCTCCCTCCTGGGGAAACCAAAAAGTACCGATACCGCTACTCCACGTTCCTCTCCCGGGGTGCGTTCTGACTAGAACTTCGAGGGCAATCCAATGGTGGCGACGAGGCCCTCCGACGACGCCCAACAAAGGGAAAACAGGCGGAGGGTCGCGGTATAAATACGCGACCCCCGGCCTCAGAGGTCCCGACCGCTTCCCCCGGGGGCAGTGCTTCGGTCAGGTCGGGCCTGTCCCCCTACAGGGGGATTGTGGGCGAAAAATCTAAAATAGTCAGAACTTATATCTTTTTTCACCATTGAGCCAACATGCCAATGGTGCCCAACCGCATGCACGAGGCAAACCAGGAATCAACAATAGTCAGACATTACGCTAAATCGTTCAAAAAATGGTAAACGTCCCCCCGATATTATCTTTTTGGGCTGTTTTGGGTATTCCTCCTGCAGAGGGACAGGGACAGGCCCGACTTCACATGCTTCGGTTAGGCGGGCCGGTTGTTGGCGGCCCTGGGGGGCCAGACGGCGGGCCCCGGGGGCCGAGGTCGAGGCGCAGAGAAGGCGGTGCATCCACGGGAGCAAGGAGCGTGCTGCCGGAAGCCGGAGAGGGCCCGGACGTCGGGCGCCTCGAAAGGAAGGAGCCCGGGGTCACCACACAAAGGAATACACACAGCTAGCAGGATCCCCCCTATTTTCCCATGTTTTCGGGGCTTTCGTCTTCCCCCCGCTTCCCAGAATTTTTCCTATATTTTCTGGGCGATCGACGATTCATTGTGTCTGTGTGTGTTTTTTCCCTCCTGGCGAAAGACCCGAGGCGGAGGTTCTTCGTCGTGTTCGGCCGCTTTCGGGGCCCTCGCCGGGCCTCGGGGCCTTCAGGAGACGAATCCGGAGGAGAAGCCGGTCCCAGGGGGAAGGGGTCGGGGGGTCGAGATGCCTGCGTCCCGAGAACAAATCGGGGCGTCGGGTGCCCGGGGGTGCCGAAGGCAGTCGGGCGATCTCCGCTTCTCCCCTGCTCGCGCTCCGTCTGGCGCGAGGCGCTGCCCGACCCGGCCCGGCCCGTGGCCCGGCGCGGTGAGGGCACGGGATAAGGAACCGTTGGAGAAGGAGTCCAGAGTTATATCGGGCGTGTCCCCCTACAGGGGGATTGTCGACGAATAATAAAAAAATACCCCCAAAATCGTATCAACACTTAACACAAAAATAGTCTGGGGACTATTTTTTGACTATTTTTCTACCTTTTTGGGGTATTTTTTGGGGTACTTTTGATTTTTCCTCGAAGATCCCCCTGTAGGGGGACACGCCCGACAGAAGGCCAGAGTCTGGAAGCGGGTGGACCTCCCATCGTGGGATGGGGCATGGATGCCCCCGCCGCCCTCTCATCAGAGAAGAAATCCTCCAGGGTCTGAGGCTTCCTGGGCACACTCCCCAGCCAACGGCCCCACCGTTGGGGGCCCCAGAGGCCGAAGTCGCGCGCGCTCCCTCTTGCTCGAGTGCGGCCAGCTGCAGGGGAGGGGGACCAACTGGAGGGGTGGGGGGGTTCGATCCTCCTCCCCTCCCCGACCCTCCTCGACCCTCGAATCCGCCGCGGCACTCCACGATCCTCCTTTTGGTCCTCGAGTCGCCCTCGATCAGTCCTTCCCGATGGTCGACGGGGGGGAAGCGAGGAGGGGGGCTGGCTCAGGGGGGAGCACGTCGAGCCTGAGTCGGAGATGCATCGACAGATCCGCGACAGGCCCCCGATGGCAAACCCTCGCGTTCCCCGGCGGGGTGGGCTACCGGGCTCCTGGCGGCGATGAATGGCCGATTGGGGATCGATGCGTTCTCCCTCGAGCCTATCCCCTCGCCATCGCTCGGAGGTCCATTTCCTGTTTTTTTTCGGTTTCGTGCGTGGTTTTTTCGCCACATGATCTAGGATGCTCCTCGATGGTCCTCGAGGAAGGAAAAATGCACACGTCCGAGCGATGCCAAGATCCCCTTTGAGCCTATCCAAGGAATTCCCCCCCCCCCCCCCGAGCCTTCCCCCCCCTAACGTTGCCCCTGACGCGGGGGAGGAGCTGGCGGGGCTTCGCAAGCTTTGCCCTCGACCCTCGAGGAGGGAGGCTCTCCCGAGGCTTTCGGGTGGACTCCTGGCGTCTGCCCCTCTGCCTTGGACCTCTGGGGCCCCCCGGAAACCTCGGGATGGCATCTGGGAACCTCCGAGGGGGGTCAGGAGCCGGCGCCGTTCCGCAGGAACTGCAAGGGCTGCAAGCTTTTGCCCTCCACCCTCGAGGAGGTTTTTGGACGTTTTCCCGAAAAGGTTTACGCGTCTCTGGCCGTGCCTGGGCCCCCGCCGGCCTCTCCAGGCCTCTGGGGGTCAGGACCGGGGGCGGCGGCAAGCGTCACCGGCGGGAACGCGATAAGGGAAGGGATACGAGCAGCAGGCACGGAGGGATCGGCCCCGCCCCCTTCAAAAGAGATACCTTCTTGGAGTTGTCCCGCCCTCCTCGTCTGCTCCTTCATCATTTCCCACCTCCTCCTCCTCCTCTTTCTCCACCTCCCAGTCCTCTTCCTCGTCCTCCTCCTTGTCCTCCTCTCGCTCTCTCTCTCTCTCTCTAGCTCTCTCTCCCTCCTCCTTCATCACTCTTCCTTTCTTCCTCCCTCCTCACCCTCGCTCCACATCCTCCCTCCCCCCGCCTCCTCCTGCCGTGCTCCTCCTCGATGGTCCTCCACGATCTGCTGGCGGCCCTCCCGTGCTCCTCCTGCCCCAAATCCCACTCTCCGACCTCGACTCACCATACCCGCCTCCTTCGCTTTGCCCCACCGCTCCCTCGCTCCCACCGTGGGCGGCAGGGCCAATCCCAATCTGTGCGCGCCTTGGCCGATCCGCTGGCCCCGAGCTCGAACTTCACAAACGGCGGCGCCGTGGTGCCGTCCGAGACCTCAGATCGGGGCGGCCCGGATCGATAGGGGGTCGGGCCCGGGAGAGGTGCGCGGGGAGGGCAAGGATCGATGCGCGAGGGAGGGCCAGGATCGACGGGGGCAGGTGCAGTGACCACGAATGTTGGTTGGCTGGCAGGCCAATTGGCTGGCTGGTCTGCCCGGTTGCTGGTTGGCTAGCAACTGGCTGGCTGATCGGCTGGTTGGTTGGCTGGCAGCTTGGCTGGTTAGCTGGCTGCTTGGCTGGCAGGCGGAGTGTTGAATTGGCTGGCTAGGCTGGTTGGCTGGCTGGTGGGCTGTCTGCTGTCTGGCTGATCGGCTGGCTGGCTGGTGAACCTCCGTCCCAGGCCGACGACCCATTCTCAATGTTCCTCTTCATCTTCTTCTTCTTCTTTGCTTCTTCTTCTTCTTCTTCCTCCTCCGAACAGAAAGAAGAAGCCACGGGGACAAGGACAGGGTGAGGACGAGGCGATGACGAGATCAAGGACAAGGTGGGTTCATCAAGCTCAACTGGCTGGTTGACTGGCTGGTTTGCGGGTTGCTTGGCTGGCTTGTTGGCTAGCTGGATGTTTGGCTGACTGGCTGGTTGGCTGGTCTGCTGGCTGGTTTGCTGGTTGGCTGGCTGGCTGGCTGGTTGGTTGCATTGGCTGACGTCGACAACGGCAACGCTGTTGCTGTCGTCGTCGCCCTCCTCCTCCTCCTCCTCATCATCATCACCACCATCACCATCATCATCGACATCACCATTACCATCACCATCACCATCACCATCACCATCACCATCGTCACCATCATCATCATCACCATCACCATCATCATCACCATCACCATCACCATCATCATCATCACCATCACCATAAGCACCATCGTCACCATCACCACCACCATCATCGTCATCATCACAACCGCCATCATCATCATCACCATCACCATCACCATCACCATCATCATTCCCATCATCACCATCACCATCACCATTACCACCACAATCATCATTGCCATCACCACCACCATGAGCACCACCATCATCATTCCCATGACCACCATCATCAGCATCATCATCACAATCATCATCGGCATAATCATCATGATCAGGATCATAATCGTCATCACCACCAACACATCAGCACCATTACCATCGACACCATCGTCATTATCACCACCATCACCACCATAATGATAATCGTTGTCATCATTATTATCACAAGTTTCAGCGTCATCGTCATGATGATGCTCATTCTCGTCATCATCATCACCATTATCAACCCTTTCTTCCTCCTCTTCCTCCTCCTCCTCATCATCGTCACCGTCATCAACATCATCATCACCATCATGACCAACGTCTTCATCATAATCATCACCATTATCACCATCGCACTCGCCATCGCAAGCATCATTATCATCATCGCCATCATCTTCGTCATCATCACCATCACCATCATCATCAACGCCGCCACCACCATCATCATCATGATCATCACCATCGTCATTATCAACATCATCATCATCAACACCCATAACCATCATCATCATCAACACTATCATCATGGTCGTCGTCGCCGTCGTCGTCGTCGTCAGCGTTGTCGTCAACGATGATTCGAAGTTCGAGACAGAAGTTTTTTTGAATGTTACGTTTCCTTTGGGACTCCAGGCGCGGGGGGGGTCGTCGGGGCAGGCTCTTGGTCGGCTGGTTGATGGTCGGATGGTTGGCTGGTCGGCTAAGAGGTTAAACGTTGAAAGGTTGGCTGAATAGCTGGCTGGCTGGCTGGTTGCTGGTTGGCTTGTTGGATGGCTGCTCGGCTGGTTGGCTGCTTCGCTGGCTGGTTGGAACGCTGGCTGGCTGGTTCTCCTTCGCCAGGACGGATCCGAGGAAGGCTGGCTGCGAGAAGCCAGAGCCATTCGTGTTTCCGCTGGGTGCTGCAAAGTTTTAGCACTCCCCGCCTCAAAACGGAGGCGGAGGGAAGGCGGAGGAGACGGAAGGAAAAGGGGAACAAAATTCCCTGCGCGAGCCGCCCAACACCCCACTGGCTCCGATCCGTGTCAGTCCACTTGTTTCAGCTTTCCGGAGTTTCGGAGCTGGCCTCTGCCAGCGTCAGTTTGTTTCCTTCAGCGCCGAGCTTGTGCCACTTGCGCGCCCGAGGCCACAAACGCTCATAAATCATTCGATATTCGCGTCCCCGAAGCCATAAACCCTCGTACATTGGGCAATATTCGCGTCTCGGGAGCCATAAGCCGGTGTAAATGATGCAATAAGTGCGACCCCGAAACACCCTCGTAAATTACGCAAAAATCACGTCCGAAGCCAAACACCATCGAAATACAACACCGAATTCAACAATATCATCAGAATCTCAATTTGTCTTGCCGGTTACTCACCGTCTTCGCGTGAAGTCCAGAGGCTGCTTCACGGCGGCGCCAAGGCCTCATGCTTTCGCTCTTGCATTGCCCATTATCCGAGAGAGGGGGCCGGCGGCAAGGGGCCACGCCATTACGGATTATGATTGTGGGAAGGACTGCGATGAGGAGAATGACGATGAGGGGGGGGCGTCGAGAGGAAGACGAGGTCCGGGCGCGGTCTTCTCGCCGCGCCCGCGCCCCACCGCGCCGCCCGACTCCCCCCCCCACCCAGTCTGGAGCTATTTCTCCTCCCCCCCCTTCCGCGTTTCAATCTCCGCCCTGCCCCCGTCCGTGTCCCAGCCCTCCCCCAGTCCACCCCCTCTCCCCCCTCTCCTCCCCCTCCCCTCCCCCTCCCCTCTCTGCTTCCTCCGTTCGTCCCCATCCTGGCCCTCCTCCTGCTCCTCCCTCCTTGTCCTCCCCCTCCCCTCTGTCAGTCTCTCCATTCACTCTTCCTCCTGTTCCTCCTCCTCGCACGTCCTCTTCCTTCTCCTCCCGCGCCCTCGCTCCAAATGCCCCTCCTCCGCCTCCGCCTCCGCCTCCGCCTCCGCCTTCCTCTCCTCCTTCTCCGCCTGCTCCTCCTCCTTCTCCTCTTCCTCCTCCTCCGCCTGCTCCTCCTCCTCTTCCTCCTCCTCCTCCTCCTCTCCTGTCCGTCCTGTCCCTCTTCGTCCTCCTCACCCCCGTCGTTCTGTTCGTCCTCGTCTCCCTCCCCTTCCTCACGCTCTCCCGTCCTCTCTTTTCTCCTCCCCGCCCGCCCCCAATCCCCCGCCCCCTCAGAAAGGACATTCGTCGCCGTCTGGCTGCCGCCGAAGACGTAGAACGCCTGCAGCACCTTCGCGGCGTGGCGGGAGAGGGCCAGACGAGGAAGAGAAGAAGGATTAATATGCAGGAGCCGGGGTAGGTTGAGGAGGAGGGAGCGGAGGAGCAAGAGGAGGAACAGCAGGAGGAGGAGGATTGGCTATGTGTGTGTGTGTGTGTGTGTCAGCCAGCGTGGGCCCCTTATACAGTGCGTTTCTATGAATTTATGTTTTGCGATCGATGTGGGCAGCATCTGTAGTGCAAGCTGTGTGGTGCAATCTAGGTTGTGCGATTTATGTGTTGCAATATATGTTGCGCAATCTATACATGGTGCAATGCATGTCGTACGAGCTATCGGATCCAATCTGAGTTGTGCGATAAAGGTGGGGCACTATATGTGGTGCAGTGCAGTCTCTAAGGTGCAATCTGCATTGTGCAATCTATGGTGTGCCATACACGCTGTACAAGCAGTGTAATGCAATCTATGTTGTGCAATCTATGAGGTGCAATTCACTTGCCGAACTTGAAGTTGTCAACTCCACTGCTCGCGCAATCATCCCACCCACCCACCCGCAACTTGGTTTGCAAAACCCATGCGGGACCGAGCACAAATATCGCTCCGGGGTCGTCTTGGAGCCCTCGGGGGCGTCTCAAGAGCGCCCCAAGAAGGCCGGAGAAGCAAGACGGACGACGACGACGACGACGACGACGACGGCGGCGACGACGACGCGCCGACGTCGACGACGACGAAGACGACGAGGACGTCGCCAACGAAGACGACGACGAGGGAGGAGGGAGGACGACGACGGCGACAACGACGACAACGACGACAACGAGGGAGGAGGGAGGACGGCGACGACGCGAACGACGAAGAAGGAGGAAGGACGGCGACGCCGACGACGACAACGACGAGGGAGGAGGGAAGACGACGACGAGACGACGACGACAACGACGACGACGACGGCGACGAAATAGGAGGGACGACGACGAGACGCCGACGACGGACGACGACGCGACGACGAGGGAGGAGGAGGAAGGACGACCACGGCGATAACGACGACGGAAACGACCACGACGCCAAAGAGGACGACGACGACGAACACGAGGAAAGACAGCAGGACGACGTAGGCGACGACGACGACGACGACGCGGGAGGAGGGAGGACGACGACGACGACGACGACGACGACGCCGCAAGAGCGCGCGCGCACGCTTTTGTTGAAAATCCGTGTTGCGAAACCTTGTGTTTTTGTATGTTTTTTGGACGCGCGATTTTGAAATCCTTCCGAAACCGATGGGTTTTGAAGGATTTCGGCGTACGCGCGCGACGACTCGCGCGTCTGCACTTCGTCCCGTTTTTTGCAGAGGATTCTCGCGACGGCACACGCGCAAGGGCGTTCGACAGATTTCGACATGCGCGCGCGCGCGACGCCCATTTGGTAGCATGTTGTGAAAATCTTGAAAAACCAATGGTTCTCTTAAGATTTCGCAAGAGCTCGCGCGTGAGCTTTTCTAGCAAATCAGCGTTACGAAACCCTGTATTTTTGTATGTTGTTTGGAAACTCAAACTCGATTGCGAACTCCTTCCGGCACCGACGGTTTTTGAAGGATTTCGGCATGCGCGCGCGACGACACGCGCGTGTGCACTTCGTCCCACTTTTTGCAAGGGATTCGCGAAAAAGGTGTTATGTTAGAACAACAAATGTCACCGCAGAGTGTTTTTTTACCAGGGAACCTCAGGGGGGGGGATACCAGTTGGCCTGGGACGTTGTGAATTCATATTTAGGATGGACATGTGGTCAGAATCATATGTGATTTACATACCCGAAAGGGGGGGCGATTACGCCGGGGGGGGGGGGAGAGTTTATTTATTCTCTTTTTAGAAAAGGAGAATGAATATTGTGCCACACATATACATACAGACCTGGAACAACATGTGTGGTGCAACATACATGGTGCGATTGTTATCTCTCAAACGAACTGACACAGTCCATGCTCTTGCAAACATCGTACCCGCCCACCCGCAACTGGGTTTGCAAAACCCATGCGGTGGCGATTGCGATGCATGCTTGGCGTTGGCTGGTGCATCTCTGCGGCCGCGCCGACCCAAACGCGCGCGCAGTGGCCAGCTAGTTTGGCGTGACCGACGCGGCCGCGGTGGCGCTGACCGCTGGGCACATCCCAGCGGGCACGATGTTAACCACGACGACGGCGCGGCCAGTGCGGGCGCCGATGCTGATCGCGCCGGCGACGATGGCGGCGTCTTCGCGTCGGTGATGACGGTTTTGTAAAGAGTTCGACATGCGCGCGCGTCCGACGCGCGAGAGTAGCCCGCATGGTAATTCTTGACACGGATCGTGCCCCCCCCCCAGCACGCGCGCAAGGGTGTGCGAATGATTTCGGCATGCGGCACCAGAGGCCAATTGGGCAGGAATCCATGGAAACGTTGAAAAACCTATGGTTTTCCAAGAATTTGCAAGAGCGCGGGCGAATGCTTTTTTGAAAGCTGATTTTGCGAAAACATGTGTTATATGTATTTATATATATACATATATGTACGTGTGTGTTTTGGACACTCGGTTTTGCAATCGCTACGACACCTAAGGTTTTTGATTGATTTCGGCATGCGCACGCGACGACGCGCGGGCATGCACTTCGCCTGATTTTTCGCAAAGGATTCTCGCGACAACACGCGCGCAAAGGCGTTCGAGCGATTTCGGCATGCGCGCGCGCGAAGCCCGTTTGGTAGCATGTTCTGGACATGTGGAAACAACCTATGGTTTTCTTAGAAAGGTTCGCAAGAAAACGCGCGCATGTGTTTTTGTTTGTTTGTTTTTCCTTTTGAAAACCCGTGTTGCGCAACCACGTGGTTTTATTCTTTAAATCCTTACGACACCGAAGGCTTTTTTGTAAAACAATTCGGCATGCGCGCGCGAGAACGCGCGCGTGTGCACTTCGTCCCATTCTTTGCAAGGGATTTTGGAAAACGGGTGATTTTTGATAAACGAGTGCGCGCATAATATTTCTTGCAGAGGATGGCGGGGGGGGCTCCATACCGGCTCGGCTGGGATGGTACGGATTCAGATTGAGGATGGGCGATGGGGCAAGGGTATATGTAAAATGCAATACGAAAAAGGGAACGGACAATTCCGCCCTCGGGAGGGTGGTAGAATCTGTTCTCCTTTAAGACAGGGGAACCAACGTTGTGCAAGCTATGCAGTCCAGTCTATGCGGCGCAATATATGTGGTGCGACCTATGCGGTGCAATTCACTTTGACTGTCTTGGAGCTGTCCTCTCCACTGCCCGTGCAAACATCCACCCTCCCACCCGCAACTTGGTCGCAAGACCTCTTAAGACCGTGACGGTAGGTACCACATGGCACTTGGCAACGACACCGACGCCGACGACGACAGCGACAACGACGACGACAACGCCGCCGACACTGACTACGACGACACCGACGACGTCTCCAACGACTTCGACGACGACGACAACGACGACGACGACACCGACGACGACGTCGACGACGACGACGACAACGCCGACGACGACGACAACGCCGACGACGACGACACCGACGACGACGCCGACGACGACGACGAAGACGACGACGACGCCGCCAACGAAGACGACGACGACGACGAGGGAGGAGGGAGGACGACGACGGCGACAACGACAACGACGAGGAAGGAGGGAGCACGGCGACGACGCGAACGACGAAGAAGGAGGGAGGACGGCGATGCCGACGACGACAACGACGAGGGAGAAAGGAAGACGACGACGACGACGACGACGAGGGAGGAGGGAGGACGACGACGGCGACAACGACGACAACGACGAGGGAGGAGGGAGGACGGCGACGACGCGAACGACGAAGAAGGAGGGAGGACGGCGATGCCGACGACGACAACGACGAGGGAGAAGGGAAGACGACGACGACGACGACGACGACGGCGACGAAATATGAGGGACGATGACGAGACGCCGACGACGGACGACGACGTCGAGGGAAGAGGAAAGACGACCACGGCGACAACGACGACGGAAATGATGACGACGCCAAGACGACAACGAGGAAAGACAGAGGACGACGACGGCGACGACGACGACGACGACGAGGGAGGAGGACGGCGACGACGACGACGATAACTCAAGAGCGCGCGCGCACGCTTTTGTTGAAAATCCGTGTTGAGAAATCCAGTGCCTGTGTTTTTGTATGTCTTTTGGACACACGATTTTGAACATACCCCCCCAAAAATGATTCCGGCATGCGCGCGCGACGACGCGCGCGTGCACTTCGTTCCTATTTGTTGCAGAGGATTCTCGCGATGGCACGCGCGCAAGGGCATTCGAACAAATTCGACATGCGCACGCGCGAAACCCTTTTGGTAGTATATTTTGAACATGTTGAAAACCGATGGTGTTCTTAAGGTTTCGCAAGACCGCGCGCGACAACTTTTCTAGAAATTCAGTGTTGCGAAACCATGTGTTTTTGTATGTGTCTTGGAAACTCGATTTTTAAATCCTTCCGAAATCGAAGGTTTTTGCAACATTTTAGCATGCGCGCGCGACGACGGGCGCGTGTGCACTTCGTCTCGTTTTTGCAAAGGATTCTTGACAACTTATGATTTTTGATAAACGAATGCGCGCGCATATAATTTTTTCAGAGGATGGCGGGGGGGAGTGATACCGGCCTGGCTGGGATAATGTGAACTCATATTTAGGATGGGCGAGTTTGCACAAAAAATATGAAATCGCAATACCCCAGAAGGGGATCGTTAACTCCGGGGGGGGGATAGAGTCTATTCTTCTTTCAGAAAACGAAAGCTGATTTGAACAAACGAGTTGACACATCCCATGTTCTTGCAAACACCCCACCCACCCACCCACCCGCAACTTGGTTTGCAAAGCCCATGCGATGGCGATTGGGAGGCATGCTGTGCGTTGGCAGGTGCATCTCTGCGGCCGCGCCAACCCTAGCACGCGCGCGCAGCGGCCAGCTACTTTGGCGCCGCCGACGTGGCCGCGGTGGCG